CGCGCTCTCGACCTCGCGCGTCAGCTTGTCGACCTCGTCCCGCATCGCCTCCTCGCCCTTCTCCGCCGCGGCCCGCTGCCTCGCGGCCTCCTTGTCGCCGACGACGCGGCGCCACAGCGCCTCGAGCTCATCGCCCCACCCCAGCAGCGCCGCGAGCTTGCGCACGCCGTCATCGCAGGCGCCGAGCTCGACGACGTCGTCGGCGCGCTGGCCGACGCGGCCGACGCGCTCCCGGTTCAGCAGCAGGCGCGGCACGCCGGGGCGCGCGTGCTCGGGCAGGCCGGCAAAGGGGTAGACGCTGAGGCTCGTGCCGAGGACGACGACGAGGTCGGCGCGCGCGGCGAGGGTGGCGTGTTGTTCGCGGAAGCGCGCCGGCAGGGCCTCGCCGAAGAAAGACGATGTCGGGCTTCACGAGGCCCGCCGCTGCACGCCTCGTCCGCGCAGCGCGGCACCACCTCATCCAGCACGTGGCGGCGCATGGCGTCGTCGGGGAAGGGCGCCTGGCAGGCGATGCAGCGCTGGGTGGCGAAGCTGCCGTGGGCCTCGATGATGAGGTCGCTCGGCACGCCGGCGCTGCGCTCGAGGCAGTCGATGTTTTGGGTAAAGTTCATGAGCAGCAGGCCCTTTTGCGCGAGGAGCGCGATGAAGGCGTGCGACACGGTCGGGTGGAAGCGGCCCGGGTAGAGCTCCTTGGCGAGGCAGTAGAAGGGTTCCGGGTGTTTCTGGAAGTAGTCAATGTCGAAGACGGCCTCGGCGTAGGGGAGCTTGAGCCGGGCCAGGTTGGCGTAGAGGCCTGTGCCGGGGGAGCGAAAGTCGGGTACTACGGGCGGGGTCAGCGAGTCAGCGGCTCGGCAAAGAAGCAGATGTGTGTTTTCAACGTTCGAGAAGGTGGTGCGATCGGAGGCTGGATTCCGATCTAGGACAAAGACAAAAATACCCAGCACGTACTTCCAGCGGCGGTGGAAATGCCGGCACCGGTCATGACGACGATGCGTTCGGCTTTGCCTTCCTTGATGTAGTCGGCGACGGCCTTGAGGTTGCGGCCGGACAGGGTCTCAGGCGTGAGACTCTCGTCCGCCATGGTGGATTCCTCGTTTCCCATCTTGTGGTTGCGCTTGGGGGCACGGGACGCCTTGGGGTGGCGGTCACGGCGTCGGCGACCTATTTTGGCGACGTGACAGTAGTTGTGTACGTTGATGAAGGGTCATTCGATTGAATCACAGCGGCGCCGTGTGAAGGTGGATGAAGGAGCTTTTCAGGTGGCCAGCCGTATGAGAATGATGTGGAGGTGAGCAACCGGCCGGCGGCGGGCAGTTGTTACATCATGACCCACATTCGGTGTGCTCGGTAAGATGGAGACATGAGCAGAGGTAGGGGGTGAAGGAGGCGTATTTGGTGGTTCTTGAATCTCTAGGTCTCAACCGTATTTCTCCGATATCCTGCCAAACGCACTCACGGCGTATCGCACTTGAATGTGTACATTGCATGTGAACGGAGGTGAACATGAGCTTGTGCATGGCGGAGGGAGGCGAGATGGCATGGCACTCAAGTAGTGCTTCATTCTGGATAGAAACCCTGGGACAGAAACTCTGAACGGACACTCTGAACAGAAACACTGAACAGAAACACTGAACAGAAGCATCGTTCCACCCTTTTCCACCATAGTCCAAGGCAACGGGACATTCACTTGCCGTCAATCCGTCCAAACTTGCTTTTCCTCGGCCACGAGAATCACGAGACGAGGTGGCCCAGGCCCCCGTTGGGCGCTGTGGCCCCCTGAAGCCCCTGTAAAAGCGGTGGCTACAGCCTG